GAACTTTTTCGTCGCGCTGTGATGACGTCACAGCGTGCTTTTGTCGAGCGCGATTTTGTCGTACGCGCTTTTGTGGTGGAACCGGTTTCTCTTGGAGAAACGATGCTGAAGACTGGATTTTAGGCTGGTTGCGCTCTCTCCCTCCCTCCCTCTCTCTCCCTCCCTCTCCCCTCTCTCTCAGCCCAAACTACCTCCCAGTGTTGTTGTTGTAAGGAAAATAGGAGGAAAAATTAGGTTGAGTCCTTGAGTTCTTTGCAAAAATAATAACATCAGGATATGAACAAACAAGCAACTAAATAAGATAATATTACTAGTTTATGTAGAGCCTGTTTTCTTGACCTGACCAACCTCAAAGCACTGACATCAATGCACCATTCTGCGTGGAATTCCTAAGAACCACGCAGGCTGAGATAAGGGATGATCCAGCTGAGGATGACAGACCTACAACATCTGGGTAGTTTCAGTCCCTTCCTATGCAGTATATTGCCACTCCTGAGAAAGCAGCTCAGATAGAAAAGTTGGGGTCTGCTAGCTGTTGGGAACAATCTTAAAGAAGAAAATATGCAGCAAAGTAGAGCAGTCAACGCTAGAGGGGCCTGGAGATAGGATCGTAGAATATCAGGAAAGCTGAAGGGAGAGAAGATGGTGGGGAGGTGTAACAACTCTCCCAGGTGTCTGAAGGGCTGTCACGCATAGGTTTAGGTCAAAATTATTCCACAAGACAACGAGAAACAATAGGTTGAAATTATAAGGAAATAGATTTTGGTTGGACACCAGGCATACGTTTTCCTGACGTTGAATCAAAGGGAACAGCCTTGAGAGCTGTTGGATGCTCCTTCCCTGGGCAATTTAAGTGAGGCAGGATAACAACCTGTCAAGGACACTATAAATATTGTGGTTGAACTGGGAAGAGATGATCTCTAATCTCCTTTCTCAGAGAAGGTGGTGGGCCACGGAGTGTTCCCGGAAGGGTCTATGACAATTTTCTGTGGCCAACTCTCCATGGCCAACTCGCTGTGGGACAAGAGTTACACTAATATTAAAGAATTGGTGCAATAGAATCATTAAAGAAAGGATGCAAAAGGAAGGACAGAATGAAATGTGGATGGTAAAAATTAAAATAATGTTTATTTATTTTAAATAATTAAATAGAATTGTTAAATTGTCTCGTAACAAGTTGTCCTGTGGCGAGTTGGCCGTGGTGAGATGGTCGTGTTGAGTTGGCCATGGTGTGTTGGCCATAGCAAGTTGGCTGTGGCAAATTGTCCCATTCCTTTCCCGGAACCATTTCTCTTTCCGCAGAATCACCTACGTGTTTTATGAGCAGTACCTGATGATTACCACCGTGGGCCTCATCAACCTGGCCCTGTGCCTGGTGCCCACCTTCGCCGTCTGCTACATCCTGCTGGGCCTGGACCTGCGCTCAGCCTTCATCAACCTGCTGACCATCATCATGATTATTGTGGACACTGTGGGTGCCATGAACCTTTGGGGAATCTCCTACAATGCCGTCTCCCTCATCAACTTGGTCACAGTGAGCCCACCTCTCTCTCTTGGGGATGGGCATCATGGCTGCGGGCAGGGGAGGCAGGCAAGGAGAGGGAAGGGGCACCAAAGGCCCAGTGGTCCTGCCGGAGGTGCTTAGCTTTGCACTCCTTGCTCTGAGAGCATCTCTGGAGTATCCTCCTGCAAGGCCCTTGCTGGAGATTTTCCAGAGACGTAGAGTATCACAGGGAAAGGGGCATTTGGGTGCAGAGGGAGAAACCGGCATCTGGGAAACGAGGTGAGGGTAAAAGCAGCATCAGTGTAGGTAGGAAATCTGCAGAATGGGGCCTTTTAAAAGCTCACTCTGGGAACTGTTTTTATTTATTAGAATTCTGTGAAAGGTTTTTGAGCGTCCGAGTGGATCCCTTTTGGGGCAGGAAAGGGGGCACTCAAACCGACGCGTGATTTTTGACTTGTTTATTGCCTCAGAGATGCAAAGGAGGCCCAGCTTCACTTTCCTTACAGTCTGCTTCCTCAGTCCTGCCTTTTGCCCAAAGGATGATAAATACCATATTTTTTGGAGTATAAGATGCACCTTCCCCCCCCAAAAAAAGAGGGTGAAAATCTGGGTGCGTCTTATAAGGCGTTTTTCTCCTCCTGAAACCCCACCCCTTTGCAAAAATGGCCGTGCATAGCCTTTAGGAGGCTTCCAAAGTGTTTGTGGGGGCTGGGGAGGGCAAAAACAAGCAAACAAAAAGCAGGCCATTTTGTGCCCCCCCCCAGCCCCCAGGAGCACTTTGAAAGCCTCTTAAAAGCTATGCATGCCTTATTTTTTGACAAAAAATGGCCTGTTTTCACGAAAAACAGGGTGTTTTGGGGAGTGCAAAACCTTTTTTAAAAAATTTGCCTCTTCAAAATCTTGGTGTGTCTTATACTCCAATGTGTCTTATATTCTGAAAAATATTGTAGTTCACTTTTCCTCCCACAAGTCAGTAAGTTTATCCTAAACTTACCCCACCTCCTCTTTTGTCTTGGCACCCCTCTGCTCTGCGCAATGTGTGATGTTTTGCCTGCCCCTTTGGGCTTTTCCAGCCTTGACTTTGGTGTGTGCCTCAGCTGCCAAAATGTTAGGAATACAACAAGAGCAGCAGGATTGAAAAGGAACCTTGGAGATCTTGTAGTCCAACCCCTGTTCGGGCAGGAGACCCTATGCCTATACCATTCCGGGCAAATGACCAGGTTTACCGTACTCTTGTCAGGGTAAATAACAGTGGCAGGTACATCAGCTGCCCTTTCATTGCTAATTGCTCCACTCTCCTGCAGGCCGTGGGCATCTCTGTGGAATTTGTCTCCCACATCACCTTCTCCTTCGCTATCAGCAAAAAACCTACCAAACTAGAACGTTCCCGAGAAGCCACCATCAACATGGGAAGCGCGGTAAGGAGGAGGAGGCCAAAATGAGGCCAAGGATGCAGGGGTGGAGGGATGGCGTGTGCCACAAATGGCACCTACTGCGAGCACTGGACTTGGGAGATGGCGGTTCTGATGGCTGTTGCCTCCGGGTATTTCCAGGGTTCTAAAGTCCTTTTTCATCAGCCTAAGAGCAGGTTGGTCTCTGACTATGTTGCTTGGGCTTCAGAAGGCACCAAGGAGTAGCTACTTCCTAATTGCCCAGTTGAATTTAGCTGTGCATGGCGGGGGTGAAATCCAGCAGGTTCTGGAGAATGGTAGCGGAAGTTTTGAGTAGTTCAGAGAACCGGCAAATGCCACCTCTGGCTGACCCCAGAGTGGGGAGGGAATGGGGATTTTGCAGTATCCTTCCCCTGCCCACCAAGCCACACCACACCCACCAAGCCATGCCCACGGAACCGGTCGTAAAAAAAAAACATGCATGGCCACGAGATCAATGGGACTCTCACTTCTCTAGTTTGCAGCCCTGGGTTCAACCTGTGGTGCTGGAGAGGTGATCTCAATTCTGCCATTCCGATATTCTCCAGGACAAGGGACTCCTTGCCTCGAAATTCAGGAGCATCCCTAATGCCCACCACGCCAAGGCTGCTGCCCAGGTGTGATGCTTCTCTTCTATATGTCCTTTCCCTTCATGCAGGTGTTTGCTGGGGTGGCGATGACCAACTTGCCGGGCATCGTGGTCCTGGCGTTTGCCAAGGCTCAAATCATCCAGCTCTTCTTTTTCCGCCTAAACCTCATCATCACACTCTTAGGAATGCTGCACGGCCTGGTCTTCCTGCCTGTCATCCTCAGCTACTTTGGTAAGTTTCTCTTCCTTGTTCCCCAGTTCCTTTCACTTCTCTGCTCTGTAGAAGCAAAGGAGGCTCTCCACGCTCAATAGATCGCTTCTGTAGGCTGGCTGGACTAGTCTACACTGTTGTCCTTGGTCTTCCCTTGGCAACTTTCCTCCGGGCTCAAAAATCAGAAGTAGGAAATATGCTGCAAGTGTGGTTGCATTTCACGTTATAGTAAACAGTGGAATGCCTCCCTCTTAGGCAATGGCTATGTGGGTGTTGTGTGTGCATACAGGCACTGGAGAACTGGGGGTGGGGTGGGGAGGGGGGGGTTGCTAGGGTGTAGCAGAGGGGGGGTTCCTTCCCCAAAGGATGGCTGGAGGGGAGGCAGAATCCAAAAGGCTGCCATGAACCAGTGGTGAAATCCAGCAGTTTCTGGAGAACTGGTAGTGGAGAACTGGTTCTGGAGAACTGGTAGTGGAAATTTTGAGTAGTTCCAAGAAAATACCACCTCTGGCTGGCCCTGGAGTGGGGAGGGAATGGAGATTTTGCAGTATCCTTCCCCTGCCACGCCCACCAAACCACACCATGCCCATGATCTAAGTGGAGAGATTGCAGAGGAAGGGTTTACAAGAGAGTACGTTATGCTGGCTGGAGAATTCTGGGAGTTGAAGTCCACAAGTCATCAAGTTGCCAAGTTTGGGGACCCCTGCCCTACAGAGATATGAGATGCCATAACACTTGAGTGGGTCTTTCTGTCCTCCATCCTAACTCTCCTCCTCTCCTTCCAGGGCCTTCCATCCGTAAAGCAGTGCCAGAGCTGCAGATAAGAACGGAGAACCCCTCCATCCCTTTGGAAGGCAAAGAAGCTCCTAGCATTGATCAGACGTCTCCGAATACTCACAGCCAGGATCCAGCTCCAAGCCCCAGTTTAGATGAAACTGGCCTCTAGAAGTCTCCACATCTGTCTGCAGGACAGATCTTCCTGCTTTCCATTGCAACACGCAAGGAACTGGTTTCCCATATCACTAAGCTAAGCCACTAGATAGCTTATTGGTGGCTTAGGATGCTGTGTTAGCCTAGCCAATTGTGTGACTTCCATCAACAAATCCTGGTTAAAGCAAGTTAGTGAGATTTGATGCAGCTGGCAGTGAGTACACACATCGTTCTAAGCCATGATTTAACAATAGACTACTTAATAAAGCTATAGCTCCTTGGGTTCACATGACATGCTAAGCCACATCTCTGTGTGTGTCCAGCTGGCTTCATGCCCAAATCCAGAGGTGGGTTCTAGCCGGCGTTACTGCCATTCGCTTGTGGGTGCACTTTGTGTATGCGCTGCACGTGCAAGCACAACTCGACAAAAAAAATTCTGCGCATGCACAGAACTCAAAAACAAGATAGCGGCGGCAACTGTGTCAACCAGTTCAGGGGCGTGGCCAGCCTGGGTTACTGCCGGTTCTGTGACCCAAACTGGCATGCCACTATCAGTTCAGCTGAATTGGGCCGAACCAGAAGGAACCCACTACTGCCCAAATCTTACTCCCTCCATTGCAAGGCAGACCAAATTAGGAAAGCAGGGCCTGTTAGTCAGTACTACTATTATTATAAAGCAGAATCTTCCTTTTGTAGCAGAATCTTTCAAGACTGAATAGGCCTCCCCTCCCTCCCTTTAGGGGAGGCGGGAGGATATGAAGTAGAGAAAGATCTGCCTGAAATATTTTCTCACTCTTGCCCCAACTCAGGTCTCTCTCTGTGTTATCTGACCATTACCTTGATAGGTTTTCCTCCTGTCACTACAAAGCAGGACTAGAACTTCCAGTCTCCTGGCTCTAGGCTGGTGCCTTGACCGCTACACCAAACTAGCTCGCATGCCACTTTTTGCTTAATGTGTCTGAACCCAGAGGGGCTTGCCAAAGAAACAGTGATATATGTGTACATCTAACAGAGCAGATATCCCCAAATAACATCCTTCAGAATCTTCTATCTGTATCTGTTTGATAGAATACAAATTCAGTTTCCACCTAGAATGGGGGAACCTGGTCTGAAACATTAATCAACAAAGAAGATCAGGCAAATGATTCTGAACCTCAGCTCAGAACTCAGTTACAACTGGACGAACCTGGAGTTTCTCGTCAGAATTCTTTGTCCCAAAAAGTCTCTACCATGGACAGTTGGTGGCACCTGGTTAATGCTCAGCTCCTCAGTGTTGGACTTCTCTTTTGTATTGTCACCCTGGCTTCCACAGACAACAGTAAGAACAACTCCCAGGTTAAAAATGAGGTGTGTTCTCAAGTGTGCCTTAAAATCAGATTTCCAATATTAAGTTGGAACTTATGAATAGAAGACTGCTGAAAACTGGCTATTAAAAACACATAGCTTCATGGAAACCTTGCCTGGCCCCAGTGGTGTGTTGACTCAAAGACAGAGAATGCACTCTGCCATTTTTACTAATTGGCAGCCCATTTATAAGTACGAGTGGTCCATAAGGCAGATGTGCTTAACCCACAGGCTGCCTGTATAATAAAATATTCCTAAATTAAACGGTAGTTTCTTGGGAAGAATTTTTGACCTTACTGACAAAGCCGGAAGAAAATAACTTCTGAATTGAAACTTGACCTCTCCTGTATTGGGGTCAGCCTCTAGTTTAATCCATTGACCATGCGGACTGCTTTAAGATTCACCTGACTCTTCTCAGGAGTGTTAAATATGTTAAATACGTCTGCCACTCAAAATGGAAAGAAGTTATAATGATATTTTGATTCCTGTTTCATACTTATGGGGGTGCAGGGAGAACAGTCCTCAAAAACATTTTTAAAGTGTTTTATTTCTATCCTTCAGTTAAATGAAATACCAATAACTTTAACATGAATTATTTATTCCTTATTATTTATCCTCGTCTTTCACCCAAATAATGCACAAGGTGGCTAACAATAAAATAGAATTTATAGAGTTGTCTTTAAGATATTTATTTACTATATTTAACCACCCCGATTTTATTTGTTCTGAGCACTGTGAAACCAAACAAGGATAATACAAGGGATGTGGATGTAATAGATACAGAACACCTCAATCAACAGAAACCCATTCAAGGGAAGTTTTGTGGGGGCCTCTTGCCTCCATGAAGTCTCAGCAGAAGATTATCAGAAGGCCTGTCCTGATGTGTGTATCTCTGTGCACTCTGCCATGCAAGCTGCTATAAGGAATATCCAGCATGTTGAATTCAGTTTGGAACCTAACAGATAGCTAGTCAAGTGATATTGGGATCGTTGTCCATCAGCATCCTGCTGGCTGTGTAACTGGAATTTCCAGGTTCTCTCCACTGAACATTTTGCTGTAGCTCTATAGTGTAACTATCAGGGCTTGAGTTACATCACAAAGGCATCTTAGTTAAGATAAGCAATAAAAATATACTGCTTCACAGTGCTTCCCAGCCCTCTCTAAGCGGTTTACAGAGTCATCCTCTTGCCCACAACAATCTGGGTCCTCATTTGACCGACCTTGGAAGGACGGAAGGCTGAGTCAACCTTGAGCCAGTTAGGATTAACTGCTGGCAGTAGGCAGAATTAGCCTGCAATCTGGCATTCTAACCACTGGGAGGGAGGGAAGGAAGGAAGGAAGGACATTAGCACTTGTTTCGCCCCATTTTATGACATTTCTTGTCACAGTTGTTAAGTGAATCACTGCAGTTGTTAAATTAGTAAATGGTGGTTAAATGAATCTGAAGGTGTTCCCATAGACCTGGCTTGTCAGAAGGTCACACAAATGATCTCATGAGCCTGCAACTGTCATAAAGGTGAGTCAGCTGTCAAGCATCCGAATGTAACTCACGTAACCCTGGAGATGCTGCAACGGTTGTAAGGGTGAAAAATGGTCCTAAGTCACTTTTTTCAGTGCGGTTGTAGCTTCAAGTGGTCACAAGTGAACCTTGGTAAGTGAAGGACTACCTATATACCGCCTCTAAGCGGTTTAGCCAACAATCTGGGTCCCCATTTGAACAACCACAGACAGCTGAGTCAACCTTGAGCCAGTTAGGATTAACTGCTGGCAGTAGGCAGAATTAGCCTGCAATCTGGCATTCTAACCACTGGGAGGGAGG